GGTGCTTTTCTCCATCCTACATTGCCACTCACTGCCTATCCTAATTCAGACCCTCTGATTCACACGACCCCGTGATGTTTTTTCACTCCTACCAATGAATGTAACGTAACACACACCCATAGAATGCGCACCACCCCGCGATGTTTTTCAGAAACCTATCCTACATTGCCACTGCATGTTCCATGACCTCCCCATGCTGACCACCCCACGGTGATTTTCTCCAGCCTACATTGCCACTCACTGCCTATCCTCATTCAGACCCTCCGATTCACACCACCCCGTGATGTTTTTCTCACTCCTACTAATGAATGTAATGTAACACACACCCATACAATGCGCACCACCCCGTGATTTTTTTCAGAAAACTATCCTGCATTGCCACTGCATGTTCCCTGACCTTCCCATGCTGACCACCCCGCGGTGCTTTTCTCCATGCTACATTGCCACTCACTGCCTATCCTAATTCAGACCCTCCAATTCACACCACCCCGTGATGTTTTTCTCACTCCTACTAGTGAATGTAATGTAACACACACCCATACAATGCGCACCACGCCGTGATGTTTTTCTCACTCCTACTAGTGAATGTAATGTAACACACACCCATGCAATGCGCACCACCCCTCGATGTTTTTCAGAAACCTATCCTACATTGCCCCTGCATGTTCCCTGACCTCCCCATGCTGACATTCCCGCGGTGCTTTTCTCCATCCTACATTGCCACTCACTGCCTATCCTAATTCAGACCCTCCGATTCACACCACCCCGTGATGTTTTTCTCACTCCTACTAGTGAATGTAATGTAACACACACCCATACAATGCGCACCACCCTGCGATGTTTTTCAGAAACCTATCCTACATTGCCACTGCCTGTTCCCTGACCTCCCCATGCTGACCACCTCGCGGTGCTTTTCTCCATCCTACATTGCCACTCACTGCCTATCCTAATTAAGACCCACCGATTCACACCACCCCGTGATGTTTTTCTCACTCCTACTAGTGAATGTAATGTAACACACACCCATACAATGCGCACCACCCCGCGATGTTTTTCAGAAACCTATCCTACATTGGCACTGCATATTCCCTGAACTCCCCATGCTGACCATCCCGCGGTGCTTTTCTCCATTCTACCTTGCCACTCACTGCCTATCCTAATTCAGACCCTCCGATTCACACCACCCCGTGATGTTTTTCAGAAAACTATCCTACATTGCCACTGCATGTTCCCTGACCTCCCCATGCTGACCACTCCGCGGTGCTTTTCTCCATCCTACATTGCCACTCACTGCCTATCTTAATTCAGACCCTCTGATTCACTCCACCCCGTGATGTTTTTCTCACTCGTACTAGTGAATGTAATGTAACACACACCCATACAATGCGCACCACCCCTTGATATTTTTCTCACTCCTACTAGTGAATGTAATGTAACACACACCCATACAATGCGCACCACCCCGCGATATTTTTCAGAAACCTATCCTGCATGGCCACTGCATGTTCCCTGACCTCCCCATGCTGACGACCCCGCGGTGCTTTTCTCCATCCTACATTGCCACTCACTGCCTATCCTAATTCAGACCCTCCAATTCACACCACCCCGTGATGTTTTTCTCACTCCTACTAGTGAATGTAATGTAACACACACCCATACAATGCGCACCACCCCGAGATGTTTTTCTCACTCCTACTAGTGAATGTAATGTAACACACACCCATACAACGCGCACCACCCCGTGATTTTTTTCTCACTCCTACTAGTGAATGTATGGTAACACACACCCATACAATGCGCACCACCCCGTGATGTTTTTCTCACTCCTATTGGTGAATGTAATGTAACACACATCCATACAATGCGCACCACCCCGCGATGTTTTTCAGAAACCTATCCTACATTGCCACTGCATGTTCCCTGACTTCCCCATGCTGACCACCTCGCGGTGCTTTTCTCCATCCTACATTGCCACTCACTGCCTATCCTAATTCAGACCCTCCGATTCACACCAGCCCGTGATGTTTTTCTCACTCCTACTAGTGAATGTAATGTAAACACAACCATACAATGCGCACCACCCCGCGATGTTTTTCAGAAACATATCCTACATTGCCACTGAATGTTCCCTGAACTCCCCATGCTGACCACCCCGCGGTGCTTTTCTCCATTCCACATTGCCACTCATTGCCTATCCTAAATCAGACCCTCCGATTCACACCACCCCGTGATGTTTTTCAGAAAACTATCCTACATTGCCACTGCATGTTCCCTGACCTCCCCATGCTGACCACCCCGCGGTGCTTTTCTCCATCCTACATTGCCACTCACTGCCTATCCTAATTCAGACCCTCCGATTCACACCACCCCGTGATGTTTTTCTCACTCCTACTAGTGAATGTAATGTAACACACACCCATACAATGCGCACCACCCCGTGATGTTTTTCTCACTCCTACTAGTGAATGTAATGTAACACACACCCATGCAATGCGCACCACCCCGCGATGTTATTCAGAAACCTATCCTGCATTGCCACTGCATGTTCCCTGACCTCCCCATGCTGACCACACCGCGGTGCTTTTCTCCATCCTACATTGCCACTCACTGCCTATCCTAATTCAGACACTCCGATTCACACCACCCCGTGATGTTTTTCTCACTCCTACTAGTGAATGTAATGTAACACACACCGATGCAATGCGCACCACCCCTCGATGATTTTCAGAATCCTATCCTACATTGCCACAGCATGTTCCCTGACCTCCCCATGCTGACCACCCCGCGGTGCTTTTCTCCATCCTACATTGCCACTCGGTGCCTATCCTAATTCAGACCCTCCGATTCACACCACCACGTGATGTTTTTCTCACTCCTACTAGTGAATATAATGTAACACACACCCATACAATGCGCACCACCTCGTGATGTTTTTCTCACTCCTACTAGTGAATGTAATGTAACACACACCCATACAATGCGCACCACGCCGCGATGTTTTTCAGAAACCTATCCTGCAATGCCACTGCATGTTCCCTGACCTCCCCATGCTGACCACCCCGCGGTGCTTTTTTCCATCCTACATTGCCACTCACTGCCTATCCTAATTCAGACCCTCCGATTCACACCACCCCGTGATGTTTTTCTCACTCCTACTAGTGAATGTAATGTAACACATACCCATACAATGCGCACCACCCCGTAATATTTTTCTAACTCCTACTAGTGAATGTAATGTAACACACACCCATACAATGCGCACCACACCGCGATGTTTTTCAGAAACCTATCTTGCATTGCCACTGCATGTTCCCTGACCTCCCCATGCTGACCACCCCGCGGTGCTTTTCTCCATCATACATTGCCACTCACTGCCTATCCTAATTCAGACCCTCCGATTCACACCACCCCGAGATGTTTTTCTCACTCGTACTACTGAATATAATGTAACACACACCCATACAATGCGCACCACCCCGCGATGTTTTTCAGAAAACTATCCTACATTGCCACTGCATGTTCCCTTACTTCCCCATGCTGACCTCCTCGCGGTGCTTTTCTCCATCCTACATTGCCACTCACTGCCTATCCTAATTCAGACCCTCCGATTCACACCACCCTGTGATGTTTTTCTCACTCCTACTAGTGAATGTAATGTAACACACACCCATACAATGCGCACCACCCCGTGATGTTTTTCTCACTCCTACTAGTGAATGTAATGTAACACATACCCATACAATGCGCACCACCCCGTGATGTTTTTCTAACTCCTACTAGTGAATGTAATGTAACACACACCCATACAATGAGCACTAACCCGCGATGTTTTCTCACTCCTACTAGTGAATGTAATGTAACACACACCCATACAATGCGCACTACCCCGCGATGTTTTCTCACTCCTATTAGTGAATGTAATGTAACACACACCCATACATTGCGCACCACCCCGTGATGTTTTTCTCACTCCTACTAGTGAATGTAATGTAACACATACCCATACAATGCGTGTCGATGTCCGCTCCCGGCCGGCAGGAAGGACACACGACACAGTCTGGTAGTGGACAACCTTTTCTTTTTATTTTCCTTCTCCGTACAGCCTGCCCTGGGTTCTCCCAGCTGAAGCCTCCTTTGGTCCGCTCCCCGCGGCTCCTTTTGTGCTTCAGCCTGCCCCAAAGCCTCTACCGGTCCGCTCTTCGCGGCTCCTTTTGGGCTTCTACTTCCGGGCTTCTATCTGGCTTCTTCTTCCGCCCAGGGGTGGCACCGGTATATATACGGGTACAGTGTCCAATCATGTTAAAGTAAGCAAGGCAAGCTGATTGGCTAACATCATCAGTTGCCAGGCAGACTATATTGTTGAGCGGGTTGTTTACGCGGTAAGCAGGAAACTAACATATTCGATGGGAGGGGTAATCTACCTCAGGCCTCACTCTTTACTACAGGCCTCACGTCCGCCAAGTGAGGCGACCGGGCTCGGGGCTGCGGCTCCCAACATCTCCCCCTTTTTTATTTTTTATGAATGTGCGCATCGTAGCCCTTCCTGGACTGGGTGCAGAGGCTTATGCCCTATGCGTAGGCCCACCGTAGGTCCTTGGCTTAGACCCTGGTCGGCCGTCCCATGGTCTGCCAAGGCCCTGAGGCCCTCGTCCTTTTTCTAGGGCCAGGCACAAACTGGACGGAACCTGGATGCACACAAGCTTGCACTCATTCTCTCTCCGTAAAGAAATCCCCTCGGAGAGAAATTTAGACCTGGGCAGCATCTAACAGTCCAGCGGCTTACGTGCAGGATGGGGTAGGGCCTGGCTTAGGTTGAGTCGCACCGGGGGAGTACGCTCTTACCCGTCATTGACTCATCTACCCTGCTATATCATAATTTTTTAGAGGAGGAGTGTGGGAAGCTCACCGTCCCTAGACTCGGTCGTAGGCTAGGCGAGCGAGCCATGCATATGCCTGAGGATCTTCTTGTCCATTTCGGGCTACCGCTATTTCTATTCATCTTGTTGGTTGGTCTGTGATGGATCTCCAGTAGGGCAGGTCTGATCTTTAGTCGAGGGCTTTGTTGTCCGTGTCAGTCTCTCCGGTATCCACAGTGGTTCTCGTCCCGGTTCCTGTGGGAAAACACAAACCGCGCCTCGGTTCCAGCTGATTACCGGATCCGGGCCCATCCATTGTCCTGTCAGGACATCTTTCCACTTCACCCACCCTTTATGGTTGGGGGAAGTGTTGCAGTGCTCCACAGCTGGGGAGCGATTATCATTATTTAAATTTAAAAAATTGTGTGTGAATAGTGCCATGGATAATCGTGCCTTTGGGGCCAGGCCTTGGCCTACTCCCCCTTTTTGTTTTTGTAAAATTTCTTTGAGGCTTCTATGAGCCCTCTCAATGATTCCTTGACCTTGGGGATTGTATGGGATACCATGTTTTAATTGAACCTCCATCATTTTGCAGAACTCATTGAAGGCTTTGCCTATATAGGCTGGTCCATTATCAGTTTTTAATATTTTTGGTTTGCCCCATGCGGCCCAAGCCGCCAGGCAATGATTGATCACATTAGACACTTTTTCACCTGTTTCTGCTGTTGCAAATATGACGCGAGAACAGGTGTCTGTGGAAACATGAACATATTTAAGAGTCCCAAACTCCTGTATATGTGTGATGTCCATCTGCCAAACATCACCAGGGATCAAACCTCGAGGGTTTACTCCCATCGGTATGGCAGGTTTGTATGTGGCACAGGAGTCACATAGTCGCACGATATTTCGTGCATCTGCTCTAGAAACATGGAAATGGTTTGCTAGTGTCCTGGCATTAACATGAAATTTATCATGGAAGGCACGGGCTCGCTCGATTGGTGTTAGTAAGGTAAAAATCCATAACGGGCGAGTGGCAGTGTCAGCAGCCGCATTCCCCTGTGCCATAGGCCCTGGCAGGGATGTATGTGCTCTTATGTGGGTGGTGAAGACCTTATGGTGTCTGTTCTGAAGCAATGTCTGGATAGACAGGAACAGTCCAGCCACTGTGGAAGTGGATCTAATTAAACTGGCAGTCTCAAGCACTTGCATAGCATTGACCACATACCTAGAATCGGAGACAATGTTAATGGCCTCTGAGAACCGTTCAAGAATCATTTTAACGATCTGCAGTTCCACCACCTGAGGCTGATCTGGTTCAAATTGTATGGTAACCGGGGGCTTGCCTAGGATCACATAGGCGCCTATCCCCGTCTTGGAGCCATCTGTGTATATTGTAGTTGCTGGGACTAATGGCTCAGAGGCAGTAACCTTTGGAAAAATTATAGGGTGCTGAGTGACAAATGACAAGATAGGGTCTTTAGGGTATTGATTGTTTATATCCCCATGGAAAACACATCTCAGAATGGCCCAAGTATCTATGCAGGCAGCCAGGGTCTTGATCTGGCTGGCGGTATAGGGTACTCGGATGGCTTGTGGTCCTGAGCCAAAATGTTGGACAGCTCTATCATGCGCTTCAAGGGCCAATGAAGCGACTGCCTCCGGGTAATGCTCTATGACTTTTGCAGGTGAGACCTTAGGGTGTATCCACAGTAGTGGTCCTTTCTGCCAAATCACCGCTGTAGGCTGTAGACTAGTCTGTAGCAAACAGACATCAAAGGGTCGCCCTGGTTCAATTCTGTGTAAGGTAGCCCCACCTAAGGCTTCCTCTACTCTCTGTAAGGCAGCTCTTGCCTCAGGAGTGAGCCTCCTGTGGGAGGCTATATCTGGGTCTCCCTTCAGAAGGTCGAACAGGGGTTTGAGATCTGAATTTGGTATATGTAAATATGGCCTAATCCAATTAATGTCTCCCAATAGCTTTTGCATGTCATTTAGGGTCCTAACGCCATCCATCCTAATGGTGACCTTCTGTATAAGTCTGGAGGCGACACTGAGGTCCACACCTGCTGACCCAGGGGTGGCCCTTGTTGAAGGCTGCCATCCTGAGCTGTCCTGTCTCTGGGGCGGGGGCCTGCCTGTGAAGGGGGCCCCCTCTGGCCGTTTTTTGGCTCTCTAGCATCTTGTCCACAAATACGGTTGCCCTGAGCATCAAAGACCGACCTACACTCCTCAGCTTTGTGTGATCCCTTCTTGCATCGCCCACAAACATATGGTTCTTCATTCCTAGGGCGAGGCCTAGCATCTGCATTGTTTGGGCAGTGACGTTTAATGTGTCCTGGCTCCCCGCAGGCAAAACACCCTTTAGCCTTACATTCCCCTTCTAACCCGCGAGGTCCCCTCTGCTGTACAGCCGCGGCCAGGAGAGCAGCCACTCCCGAGTTGGAGAGCGGCCCCCCTATCTCTCTGCATATCCTAATCCAGGCATTGAGGTCCTTGTTCTTATGAGGAGCTATCGCTGCCTTGCACTCCTTTGTACATTGCTCAAAAATCAGCTGTCTTACCAGCGGTTGAGCCACTCCCGGATCAGAAAATATCTTATCGGCAGCATCTTGCATTCGGGCCACAAAGTCAACAAATGGCTCTGTGGTACCCTGAATTATTTTTGAAAGACACAAGGAGGCTGTTCCAGCACCACTTACTTGCTTCCAGGCGCGGAGTCCTATGGCATTGATTTGCTCATAGACAGCGCCGGGGAACTGGGTCTGGTCATCAGCGTGCCGACCTTTTCCCATAAGCATTTCCTTGTTCCACCCCCGGTTTCCTCGATTGGCGTTTTTCTCAGCCTGCTCGGCAGAGAACTCTGCATACCAGGCTCGCCAATCCAGGTAACTGCCCGAGGGCAGACAGGCCTTTGCCAGCTGAATCCAGTCCGCGGGGGTGAGGGGCCCAGAAGACAGATTCTCCAGCATGGCAATGGTGTAAGGCGCAGTCGGCCCAAAGGTTGTAACTGCATTTTTAAGTTCTCTAATCTGCTTTATCTCAAAAGGCTCCCATACATTGCGTCCCTGGCCCATAGCTACTTGTACAGGAAATATCTCGTAGGGGCCACTATCTATCCCAGGTGGATGTACCTCATGAGACAAGCGTCCCCCCTGCCAAAGCCGCCTGTAAAAATACCGACCCGCCGGCGGCGGAGCATAAGACGGCGGCCGTGATTGGGCGGAAAATGGGGGCCCGTGCATCACTTCCTGTTCTGGCGAAAGGGGAGGGAGCTCCCAGGCGGCCGCCTCGTGGCGAGGGATCGCCTCCGGAAACGGCCCCCAAGGTGGGGCGGAAGGCTTCGCCTCCCTCTCGCGCCGGGGAGCACTCAGGAGCTCTCCACTCCTCCGCAGACCAGGTTGAGCAGAGCGCAATTCGCGGGGCAACGCTGGAAAAGAACCCTGCGACTCCTTATTGAGCGATTTAGGCTCCTGACAGCTGGTCTCTTTGGCCTCCTTGCCATTCAACTTTCCCTCGTCCTCGGAGTCAGATGACTCCGAGGCTAGAGCCCCGTCCTCCTCCTTAGCATCCTTGTTCCCCTTGACAGACACCTCTCGGGAGCTCCCTGACTGGGCCTGCTCAGATACCCTGCGTACTTTTGTAAGCTCTTGAGAGCTTTCTCCACAACCACCCTCGCTCTTAGTGCCGCTACCTAACATGTTTCCCATCTTTTAATATGTTACTCACCGCGTGAGGCCCAAGGAATCCGCCACTTACGCGTGAGCCTGAGGGGAGTCTAAAAGCCCTGTAGGTGCGCGCCACCCAGAGCCCAGGCTTATCCCCAACTCACCTGTCTCGCAGCTCTGTACTGGAGCGTTGTCCACTTCCACGTCGCGGGGGTGATCAGTCCCCGGGCGGGCCTCCAAATGTCGATGTCCGCTCCCGGCCGGCAGGAAGGACACACGACACAGTCTGGTAGTGGACAACCTTTTCTTTTTATTTTCCTTCTCCGTACAGCCTGCCCTGGGTTCTCCCAGCTGAAGCCTCCTTTGGTCCGCTCCCCGCGGCTCCTTTTGTGCTTCAGCCTGCCCCAAAGCCTCTACCGGTCCGCTCTTCGCGGCTCCTTTTGGGCTTCTACTTCCGGGCTTCTATCTGGCTTCTTCTTCTGCCCAGGGGTGGCACCGGTATATATACGGGTACAGTGTCCAATCATGTTAAAGTAAGCAAGGCAAGCTGATTGGCTAACATCATCAGTTGCCAGGCAGACTATATTGTTGAGCGGGTTGTTTACGCGGTAAGCAGGAAACTAACATATTCGATGGGAGGGGTAATCTACCTCAGGCCTCACTCTTTACTACAGGCCTCACGTCCGCCAAGTGAGGCGACCGGGCTCGGGGCTGCGGCTCCCAACAAATGCGCACCACCCCGTGATGTTTTTCTAACTCCTACTAGTGAATGTAATGTAACACACACCCATACAATGCGCACCACTCCGCGATGTTTTTCAGAAACCTATCCTGCATTGCCACTGCATGTTCCCTGACCTCCCCATGCTGACCACCCCGCGGTGCTTTTCTCCATCATACATTGCCACTCACTGCCTATCTTAATTCAGACCCTCCAATTCACACCACCCCGAGATGTTTTTCTCACTCGTACTAGTGAATATAATGTAACACACACCCATACAATGCGCACCACCCCGCGATGTTTTTCAGAAACCTATCCTACATTGCCACTGCATGTTCCCTTACTTCCCCATGCTGACCACCTCGCGGTGCTTTTCTCCATCCTACATTGCCACTCACTGCCTATCCTAATTCATACCTTCCGATTCACACCACACCGTGATGTTTTTCTCACTCCTACTAGTGAATGTAATGTAACACAAACCCATACAACGCGCACCTCCCCGCGATATTTTTCAGAAACCTATCCTACATTGCCACTGCATGTTCCCTGAACTCCCCATGCTGACCACCCCGCGGTGCTTTTCTCCATTCTACCTTGCCACTCACTGCCTATCCTAATTCAGACGCTCCGATTCACACCACCCCGTGATGTTTTTCAGAAAACTATCCTACATTGCCACTGCATGTTCCCTGACCTCCCCATGCTGACCACCCCGCGGTGCTTTTCTCCATCCTACATTGCCACTCACTGCCTATCCTAATTCAGACCCTCCGATTCACACCACCCCGTGATGTTTTTCTCACTCCTACTAGTGAATGTAATGTAACACACACCCATATAATGCGCACCACCCCGTGATGTTTTTCTCACTCCTACTAGTGAATGTAATGTAACACACACCCATGAAATGAGCACCACCCCTCGATGTTTTTCAGAAACCTATCCAACATTGCCACTGCATGTTCCCTGACCTCCCCATGCTGACCACCCCGCGGTGCTTTTCTCCATCCTACATTGCAACTCAGTGCCTATCCTAATTCAGACCCTCCGATTCACACCACCCCGTGATGTTTTTCTCACTCCTACTAGTGAATGTAATGTAACACACACCCATACAATGCGCACCACCCCGAGATGTTTTTCTCACTCCTACTAGTGAATGTAATGTAACACACACAGATGCAATGCGCACCACCCCTCGATGTTTTTCAGAAACCTATCCTACATTGCCACTGCATGTTCCCTGACCTCCCCATGCTGACCACCCCACGGTGCTTTTCTCCATCCTACATTGCCACTCACTGCGTATCCTAATTCAGACCCTCCGATTCACACCACCCCGTGATGTTTTTCTCACTCCTACTAGTGAATGTAATGTAACACACACCCATACAATGCGCACCACCCCGCGATATTTTTCAGAAACCTATCCTACATTGCCACTGCATGTTCCCTGAACACCCCATGCTGACCACCCCGCGGTGCTTTTCTCCATTCTACATTGCCACTCACTGCCTATCCTAATTCAGACCCTCCGATTCACACCACACCGTGATGTTTTTCTGAAAACTAGCATACATTGCCACTGCATGTTCCCTTACCTCCCCATGCTGACCACCCCGCGGTGCTTTTCTCCATCCTACAGTGCCACTCACTGCCTATCCTAATTGAGACCCTCCGATTCACACCACCCCGTGATGTTTTTCTCACTCCTACTAGTGAATGTAATGTAACACACACCCATGCAATGCGCACCAACCCTCGATATTTTTCAGAAACCTACCCTACATTGCCACTGCATGTTCCCTGACCTCCCCATGCTGACCACCCCGCGGTGCTTTTCTCCATCCTACATTGCCACTCAGTGCCTATCCTAATTCAGACACTCTGATTAACACCACCCCGTGATGTTTTTCTCACTCCTACTAGTGAATGTAATGTAACACACACCCATACAATGCACACCACCTCGAGATGTTTTTCTCACTCCTACTAGTGAATGTAATGTAACACACACCCATACAATGCGCACCACCCCGCGATGTTTTTCAGAAACCTATCCTGCATTGCCACTGCATGTTCCCTGACCTCCCCATGCTGACAACCCCGCGGTGCTTTTCTCCATTCTACATTGCCACTCACTGCCTATCCTAATTCAGACCCTCCGATTCACAGGACCCCGTGATGTTTTTTCACGCCTACAAATGAATGTAACGTAACACACACCCATCGAATGCGCACCACCCCGCGATGTTTTTCAGAAACCTATACTACATTGGCACTGCATGTTCCATTACCTCCCCATGCTGACCACCCCGCGGTGTTTTTCTCCAACCTACATTGCCACTCACTGCCTATCCTAATTCAGGCCCTCCTATTCACACCACCCGGTGATGTTTTTCTCACTCCTACTAGTGAATGTAATGTAACACACACAAATACGATGCGCACCACCCCGTGATTTTTTTCAGAAAACTATCCTACATTGCCACTGCATGTTCCCTGACCTCCCCATGCTGACAACCCCGCGGTGCTTTTCTCCATCCTACATTGCCACTCACTGCCTATCCTAATTCAAACACTACGATTCACACCACCCCGTGATGTTTTTCTCACTCCTACTAGTGAATGTAATGTAACACACACCCATACAATGCGCACCACCCCGTGATGTTTTTCTCACTCCTACTAGTGAATGTAATGTAACACACACCCATACAATGCACACCACCCCGAGATGTTTTTCTCACTCCTACTGGTGAATGTAATGTAACACACACCCATACAATGCGCACCACCCCGCGATGTTTTTCAGAAACCTGTCCTGCATTGCCACTGCATGTTCCCTGACCTCCCCATGCTGACCACCCCGCGGTGCTTTTCTCCATTCTACATTGCCACTCACTGCCTATCTTAATTCAGACCCTCCGATTCACACCACCCCGTGATGTTTTTCAGAAAACTATCCTACATTGCCACTGCAAGTTCCCTGACCTCCACATGCTGACCACCCGGCGGTGCTTTTTCCATCCTACATTGCCACTCACTGCCTATCCTAATACAGACCCTCCGATTCACACCACCCCGTGATGTTTTTCTCACTCCTACTAGTGAATGTAATGTAACACACACCCATACAATGCACACCACCCCGAGATGTTTTTCAGAAACCTATCCTGCATTGCCACTTCATGTTCCCTGACCTCCCCATGCTGACCACCCCGCGGTGCTTTTCTCCATCCTACATTGCCACTCACTGCCTATCCTAATTCAGACCCTCCGATTCACAGGACCCTGTGATGTTTTTTCACTCCTACAATGAATGTAACGTAACACACACCCATAGAATGCGCACCACCCCGCGATGTTTTTCAGAAACCTATCCTACATTGGCACTGCATGTTCCATGACCTCCCCATGCTGACCACCCCGCGGTGCTTTTCTCCAACCTACATTGCCACTCACTGCCTATCCTAATTCAGGCCATCCGATTCACACCACCCCATGATGTTTTTCTCACTCTTACTAGTGAATGTAATGTAACACACACCCATACAATGCGCACCACCCCGTGATTTTTTTCAGAAAACTATCCTACATTGCCACTGCATGTTCCCTGACCTCCCCATGCTGACCACCCCGCGGTGCTTTTCTCCATCCTACATTGCCACTCACTGCCTATCCTAATTCAGACCCTACGATTCACACCACCCCGTGATGTTTTTCTCACTCCTACTAGTGAATGTAATGTAACACACACCCATACAATGCGCACCACCCCGTGATGTTTTTCTCACTCCTACTAGTGAATGTAATGTAACACACACCCATACAATGCGCACCACCCCGTGATGTTTTTCTCACTCCTACTAGTGAATGTAATGTAACACACAACCATACAATGCGCACCACCCTGCGATGTTTTTCAGAAACCTATCCTACATTTCCACTGCATGTTCTATGACCTCCCCATGCTGACCACCACGTGGTGCTTTTCTCCATCCTACATTGCCACTCACTGCCTATCCTAATTCAGACCCTCCAATTCACACGACCCCGTGATGTTTTTTCACTCCTACCAATGAATGTAACGTAACACACACCCATAGAATGCGCACCACCCCGCGTTGTTTTTCAGAAACCTATCCTGCATTGCCACTGCATGTTCCCTGACCTCCCCATGCTGACCACCCCGCGGTGCTTTTCTCCATCCTGCATTGCCACTCAGTGCCTATCCTAATTCAGACCCTCCGATTCACACCACCCCGTGATGTTTTTCTCACTCCTACTAGTGAATGTAATGTAACACACACCCATACAATGCGCACCACCCCGCGATGTTTTTCAGAAACCTATCTTACATTGCCACTGCATGTTCCCTGATTTCCCCATGCTGACCACCTCGCGGTGCTTTTCTCCATCCTTCATTGCCACTCACTGCCTATCCTAATTCAGCCCTCCAATTCACACCACCCCGTGATGTTTTTCTCACTCCTACTAGTGAATGTAATGTAACACACACCCATACAATGCGCACCACCCCGCGATGTTTTTCAGAAACCTATCCTACATTGCCACTGCATGTTCCCTGAACTCCCCATGCTGACCACCCCGCGGTGCTTTTCTCCATCCTGCATTGCCACTCAGTGCCTATCCTAATTCAGACCCTCCGATTCACACCACCCCGTGATGTTTTTCTCACTCCTACTAGTGAATGTAATGTAACACACACCCATACAATGCGCACCACCCCGCGATGTTTTTCAGAAACCTATCTTACATTGCCACTGCATGTTCCCTGACTTCCCCATGCTGACCACCTCGCGGTGCTTTTCTCCATCCTTCATTGCCACTCACTGCCTATCCTAATTCAGCCCTCCAATTCACACCACCCCGTGATGTTTTTCTCACTCCTACTAGTGAATGTAATGTAACACACACCCATACAATGCGCACCACCCCGCGATGTTTTTCAGAAACCTATCCTACATTGCC